TTTCTGACAAGATGTGCTATTTGCACACATACCTTTTCCTGTTCATGTCCTCCGTGGACAAGAAGCTAGTGTTAGGTTCTAATTACCATCAGTCATAAAACTATAATAAAATTTGTAATGTATAAATTGCAAAGTAATACAAATATTCAATTTAATGTTATTACAAATAAAAGTAATAGGGCTACAATAAGTTAGGGGAACAATATTACAGTAATTAAAGCAATATTGTACATAATTATCCCAATAATATGAAACCATTTTTAACAATCATGGAAAATATTAATATCGCTTAATTTGTATGTCTAGTATTTTCCATGACTCCCATTCCATTAATACGGCAATTATGAAGCGAACAACGCTGAAAATTTGGTATTTCCCTTCAAAATCAGGCTATATATTTGGAGCACAAACTGCCAAACGTTGAACCGAAAGACAAACAACAAATTCAAATTCAGAGCTGTTGGGGGTCAACTTCGAGTACTCGCTCAGAACTATCGTCAGAGGCAGCACGTTTGGAAGGCTGACTTTCTATTTTGTTGTATTTGTTTGCAAAAGTCGCTATAGAGCGACTCCACCATGATGGACAGTAATGGCGGGCCTACCCCTAGTTCTCTCTGCTCACTATCACTACGCTGAAATAAGGAATTTTCCCGTCCTATGAAGTGGCTGCCCCCTGCTCACCAGTCGGGCACTTGGCTTCGTCGTGGCAGTGGCCCAACTCTCAGGAAAAAGAGGAGGGACTTGCCCCGGCACCCGTGAGTAGCGCATAGTTTTGACTCCGGTACTACTGGATAGCTAGTAGTTCTGCGCTGGCAGAACGCCCTGACCCAGGCATTGAATGGGGAGGTTGCCGTGGGGGCAAACTGCGTTCCGACGCGATCCTGAGGGGTTCGGCAGGGGTACAGGATAAAAGCATAAAGCTTAGGTGCACATCCTGGGGCTAACATCCCCTGGTAGAACATGTGTGGTGTAGTAGACCACGCAGTGTCCATACTGCTGTGGCCGTCCTGAAGAAAATTCCCGCCTTACTCAACTAGCACCCTTCCGCTCTAGGTGTTTATCTTACTCATAACGTTACTTCCTTCCCCTGTATGCCCTATTGGGATAACATATCATGACGTAGCTGCCCACGCCTCCTGCCCAGCTCATTAAGCATATTCCGCTTGATCTCTTTTTCTCGATCATCACGCTTCGTGCATCCTTCCCGACCCCCTCCCCCTCCCCCCAATTCACGCATGCCATGACCTTTCTGCAAACATCTTCCGACGAGCTATTTGCCAAATACTGAACCATTTATTACACATGTAAATGAACAATTGCTACTTGTGAATGAGAACCAAGTATTTAAATAAGTATTTGTAAGTACTTAAAAGGGAAGGATTGAATTGTAGCTCTAGAACAACGATGTTTAATGTTATATTTAGTATCTATGATTTTTCGTTTTCGTAAGTAGGCAATTCTAAAATAGGTTTGGTTGCTTGAAAGCTACGCTTGCTGGCGTAGTTTTCAAGAGTACCCGAAGAAAAAAATGCTGACAATAGTGTGATATGTAACTCAAAAGAGAGCCATTACTTTCGGTTGGGATGAATTTCGCAGCATTATTTCTTAACAATTACTTCTCAGAATGCCGGGCGAGGTATGTTACACTTAATATCACCTGATTCCTTTAAAGAATTTCAATGTATTGAATTAAATAAATAGTGATGCTACAGAATGGCACAGACTTTCCCGTATTAGATTTCTAGTTCCTTTGCTCTCGTCTAGCTACTGTACGAACATGCCACATATTCTTGCCAGTTGTTATCTACGCTTAAAGTGCATTTTTTTGAAATTGTTTTAATTTTTCGGATTCCGAATAGTAGAACGGAAATATTATTTTAAGAATATTAAAAAACAGTAAAACCTCGTCCTAAATGGCAATTTTCTTTATGAACATTAGAGACGCTTTAAGAAAATGGTGCTAAACCGTTGCTGAAATAAACAATTTGAAGCTCTTTTTCACAAATAATTTTTGAGTTTTTGAAAAACGTCATTAGAAGTCATCTGAAACACTGCCACTCAATACTACTCAATACTACAATAGTGTTTACAAATTGCTGGAAAAGAGCGGCGTATTAACGGCATGAGAGATCGATAAAAATATTGTAACGGTTCTCAGTGGTGAATTAAAACACACATGTAATATTAAACAAAAATGTTTATTTGTAAACAATGCTACACTAAAAATACTTCATTTATTTACAGATATATTACACAGTTCTTGTGTTCTTCACTTGATTATTTTCCTTACACATGACTTCGTTCTTTTGATTATTTATTTACACAGTTCACTTCTTCTGATTATTTATTTACACTGTGCACTTCTTCTACACTATCGCACAGTCCGATGCACGGTCCTTTGCGCTGACCACAATTCACTGGGCAAACCAGGGTCCACTGCACTGTTGTTTACCGCGATACACAGCTGAGCTTCCACTGCAGACTTCAGACTGCTGTTCACCCACTGCACCACTGTTCATTGCAATGCACACTTCATAGCTCAGCTTCCACTTCAGACAGACTACTGCACACACACACACTGACGGACTGACTGCTTACTACTTCTACTACTTACTGACTGGCTCGCGGCTGTTGACAGCGGCGAATTTATACCTGGCCGGTGCCCGTCTCGACACAACCGGCACTTGCTCCACATTCCTACGCGACTCGCGAATAACCCGGAACCGTCCAGTTCGGGGGTGGACTGCAGATGACGCAATCCGCGCAGCGAATTCCGGCAGGTGATGCAATATTCGTTACAATATATTTGCGTAATTTTTGAAAACATAACAACAAAAAATACCCCGAAATGAACTTTATCTCAATTTATTGAATTAGCAATATACTTCGAAACGTTTTAAGAAAAATATTGGAGCCGTTTATGAGAAAATGGTGCTTAGCGTTTCTGAAAATGTTGAATTTTGAGCTAGTTTTCACTGTAAACGGTTGAGTTTTCGAGAATCTTGATGTGAAATTATTTAATGCCTGTGTACTCATGAATATAATAATGTGAACAAATTAGCGCTACTACAAATATTAACGTCAGAGACAAGTAAAAAAATTCTTGTAATTATTGAATAATTAAGAGAATAGAGCTATATGGCGCTTATGCCATCTTACATACAGTACGCATTTAGTACATTACATAGTGTTCATTTAGAATTATCTCTACCAAAAGTTTGAAGAAAAAAATTGAAATTTTCAAAAAATGTACGTGATCTTAATGGAAGAACTAGTTATGAATAACCAATCTTATTTGAAGGAAACATCTCTATCTTAAATTTTGTATTTGTAAGAAGTTCGCCAATAAATTCAAATATTTAAAATTTTCGAAAATTCAGAGGTAACAGTGAAAATCGAATCTGTGGTACCTTTATAGGTGTATTACTCTATACTTATAAAAAAATTTAAACAAAAAAGTTGGAGCCGTTTTTGAGAAAATTTTTGAAATATCTATGGGCTTCATGTGAAGTACCCCCACATTTTATAAAAAGTTATTCAAACTCTTAAAGCTTCCACTTGAGCCAGACGAATAAGGGTTTCTTCAATTTGAAAAAAATGTGTGTTCACCGACGGATAGACGGACGTTTTGAAAAGAACCACTTTTTAGGTATCTGTGGACCCCAACACGTGTATTTCTGTTGAAAGCTCGAATTCGATTATCTGCGGCATTCAATAATTTTTCATATACTACGTAAATTACTCCTCCGTATATACGTACGTATACGGGAAAGTAAAAAGGGACTTTGACCGAGTAACGCCTTCAAAATCTAAAAAGCATATGTTCACACGAACGCTTTGCCATTAGATTCTGCACTAATTTAAACCTATTTTTATTGAAAAATTAGGCTAATTCTAATTTTTTCTTGCTATTAAAAAAACAGAATTTATTTTAAAGTAGCAAAATACTCGGTTTGCCCGGGCTTTTAAACCCTTTAAAAAAGATCCATTTTATACATACCACGACGTTTGAAATTATTATTTTCGATGTAGTTGGTTGAAAATTTAATAAAATACTATAACTTTCTTTCATTTTATTTTACAGTACACTGCTATTAGGTTAAAAAATATTTCCCACTGCTGCTGGTGGTGCTAGCGAAACTATTAGGTGCCGATTCTGCTGAACCGCTACCGTCCTATGTCGCAAATATATTAGGAGTCAATTATTAGATACCAGTCCTACCACATCGCTTGTGACATCTCGTGGTATTAGGAACCACGTGCTCTTATCGAGAGGTGATGCATTTACCAACATATTATTGAAATTATTTATTTATCCATATTTGTGTCGTATTAATCTTTATAAATCTTAGCAAGGATACTGCGACTATCCTGAAGAGCCTGTAAAAATGTCTTATGTATTCATACACAACTATTCGTGGTATTGATGTCAGTTACATGTCGTTGAATTCACTTTTAATGTGATGATTATTTGCTTGACCGCTCTCGAAAAAAAGAACATCAAGTGTTCTCCGTCTGCGGGGAGGGCTTACCACTTGAATGCGCAGCGCGTGCACGGCGCGGGCTGGTTGCCGGCGGCGGGCGGCGGGGGCCGGCGCGGGGCGGGCGCCGGGCGCGGACGGCGACCGCCGCGGCGGAGAGGGCCCCCTGCTCCAGGCCCTTGGGCACGCCTACGCACAGACGGGTCCACACTCGCTTTCGATTGCGCCCTCTGCCCCGGCGTCTTCCAAACGCACACACAGAACACACGGCCGGTCGATAAGGCTCGTGTTGTAAATGTATCTATCAGAGTTAGCAGGTGGCTACAAATTCTCCTCGAGACAGTAGTTGAGTTGGATTCCAGAGCTTACGATCAGAGGTCTCCTCAGTGAAACTGAGAGTAGATGTAATATCTAGGAGTTTCAGCTGAATTGGCTAATACACCTCTAGCTAGATAGAAATGTCCCCTTACAAAACCAGCCGGGTGACGAAGTGGCGTTGCAACAAGGAGGAGATGGGTAATGCGTGCATTCTGCCAGCTCTACCGGATTCTTGTGAGTGGGACTTCAAAGGGCCGAGCGTTGCGACACAGATTGAGTCGGCGGGGGAGGCGTGGGCGCAGGGCGCGGGCGAGGGCGCGGGCGGGGCCGGCGGCCCACCTGCGGGGCGCGCGCGTCGCGAGCGCCCGGTGCTGCGCCGTGTGGGCGGCGGAGCGCGAGGCCGCGGGGCCGTCCAGCGTCAGAGTCACCGTTGACAGAACGGCCTCCGACGCCCCGGGCGACTCGGCGCGCGCCGCCGCCGCTGCGATGCGCTGCGCCACGTTGCTGGCCGCGGGACCGGCCGGCGACAGCACGGCCTTCGTGGTGGTCGCCAGCGGCCACTTGCGCCCCAAGCTGCCGCTCTGGGAGGTGGTCTCCGCTTTCGCCGACTGCCGGACACAGTGGTCTCTCCGTAAGTCCACATTAGAGTCCAGAGAGTATATATGCACCCCCCTGTTAGAGTCATTCCACGTCAAAGCGCACAAATCAAATAAAAATTTTACCCTCATGTCACTGATTTTTAATTTTTCTTCTGTAAAGAATATAAGCAATAATATTAAATACACGTTTTTCATTCTTTCCCAAATACATTTTGTGAGATGATATTATTTTTTTTAAATCCTCGCAATACGAATGGTAATCATTTTAGTTTCTAAAGACTGCTATTAATAATTTAGTTTGATATTTAATGTTCCTTTTTTTAGACAGCCAACTAATCATCTTCCAATAATCTTACAGTGCCTGAAGATGAAGAGCAAATTCTGCAAAACGTGCTAAACTTTTAAAGTGAAGTTAATAAATGTTCAAAACCGAACGAAGTGGCTCAGTGCATAGCCAACTGGATTCGCAATCAGAAGGTCCGTGTTAGGATCCTCGTCACGGGCATCCAGACAGAGGTTTTCCTCGGCCACGAGGCGAATGCTAGGATGATTCCAAAAACTCATCGCACCTCCCACCAACACCTCCTGCCATCATCCTAGACCTTTCACCCCCCATCATTACCCTGTAATAATAATGATAATAATAAATGTTCAAAACGTGTGATTAAAATGAACTTCAGAGTGCAGATGATATATTTAAAAGAAATTTAATGTTTAATTTTTAATTGAATGTTATATTTATTTTCAGAGCTTGATGATTCATACACTAAAATCAAAGCAATAATTTGAAAGAATGGTTTTAAAATAGATATGGTAATGATGATCTTGCAGTGCCTGAAGGTGGAGTCCCCATTTAAAAGGAATGACTAAACAAAATTTATAATTCAAATGATTCACATTTGTAATCCCTCTCTAAAATTTCCATTAGCCATCACGAGAAAGGAAACTATCACAACTGTGTAATCTGCATTGCCTGTAACTACCCGGTACGATGACTGCGAATTTGTTTTACTGGCGACACTGTCATAACGAAATGCTATTGGGTACCTACGTTTGAATCTTGAAATGGTATCAGCGAACACTAAATTATAGTTCTTCACACTTGTGTTATATCCAGCACCGTGAAGGATACATCATGTACATAGAACTCTGTCATCAAAAGGGATAGGAGGCCATGCTTAAATGTAGATTAGTCGTGAGTGAACAAAGCCAGACGGTATCAATGTAAAAAATCACAAATCTTGACTGGGATGATCTTCGTTTCTCATTTAGATTTTTAACAGTAGCCTGAAGTCTCCGCTTCCACAGAAAGACAAACCATGATCGTACCTTCATGTTGTCCAGGCTTGTTTGGTTTGTTTTCAGCTTGATCGATATCAATGCCAGGAGAAAACATGGAAAATGACGAAAAGGGAAAAAAGACAAAAATCAGACAAAATGAAAATTTATTAAAACTTCAAAAGCACAATTAAGGGTTTCCTATCGTTAAAAGTCATAAAATTGTATAAAAAGCATTTTGTGGAATTGACTTTGACGATTGCATTCAAATTAAAAAGTATCAAACAAATTCAATATAGTATTAAATATTTATACGAATAAGAGTATATGATACACTTATTAATTTTATTTATATTACTTAACTTTACAGAGAATATAGTTTATTGACTATTTTGTAAAGTAATACAATTTTTTTTCTTTGTGTCTTCTACTTTTTGATTTTCACGTCTCTGTTGCAATAATCCTCTTGTTAAGATTTGGTCAGCTTTTCGAAAAATATAAAGATAATCTTCTTCTCATTATCATCAGCCCATGTAAATAACTTAATTGGTAAATTAATATGTTTCTGTCGGGATTGAAGGTTAGTTTCATTGAGAATTTTAATTGATTTCCTTACCACCACACCGCGCAAGGCTCGAATCTTTCCATAAGATGCCATTCCGCACTCACATTGAAGACATTCTCTCTTTGACCACGGTACAGTGCAGTTCGCTCTTATCGCAGTCGATATCGCTCCGCGCAGGACAGGCTGCCTCAGAGTTCTTATCTTACGTTGAGGCAACCGAGTGACTATAGTGTTCGTGTACAAACAGCTCTGATCACAACTAGCTAAGAAAATATTAAAGATTAATGGCCTATGCCATTAATCCAGACACAGGGCAAACAATATCTGAAGCCCTGCGCATTGTCCACAACGGCGACAACGGTGTCGTTTCACCAGTGTCACCAATACCAGCAAGCGGCGAGGCCATGGATATAAGCCTCGCTGCGACGCCAGTTCCAACCAGCACCGAGGACAGCAACAACCCTGCCTACCTCAGCCAGATCTACGTGTCGTCATCACTCCCACCATCACAACCTGCTCAGGCGCAGAAATGGTCAGTCAGTGATAGTGAAAGTGATTCCGAGAGTAAGAAAATGAATCGGCCCAGTAACAATACGAGTGCAAAATCACATAAACCCACTGAGTTTCAATACAATGTAACTATAAGGAACATATACTCTGAGCTCGGCGAACAAAGTGACGAGCGCGAGGACAATAGGTTTCTATTCAATAAATGGAACAAAATAATTTAACTCACAATTTAATACATTAAAATCACCACCCCATCTTTGTAGCCCATATTCAGAATGTTTGCAGAATATAATAGATTAACTCAAATAAAAACAAACCAGTTTACTTTCAACCATTGTCAATTAACAAAATCAAAGTGCTGTTTTTTAAAACTATCTCGAGTTTTGGCAGGCAAATAAAATATCTAATTCAGCATAACCAGAAAATTCCACACGTATAAAGACCCCAGCAAACAAAAAAATTTCCATAGTCTTTAGAATCTTCATCCATCTATTACTCAGGAAGAAATATATCAAGACCTCAAGGGAAAGTGCCATCGCTTATTAGTGGAAACTAGGACTTTATAAAGAAACATCCCGATCCCGGTAGTGGCCAGCGAGTTCGCGGTAGCCAAAACAGATAGGTAATATTACAAGTTTTAAATCAAATTGCAACCTGCATGTAAGCCAAAAAAAGGCGCAAAGCCAAAGGTTCCTATACAAATGCCTCCGATGTCTTAGATTTCGGGGCACACCAGAAAGCAACTGCAATCACAAATATAGCATGCGATGTTATTGCGGGCAAAAGATCATTACTCAGTTAAATTGCCCCCAAAAAGGAAACCCTTTCCTAATTTGCCAAAAACTGTAACGTCCGGCACCGCGTAAGAGCGAGATCAGCTGAAATGTACTTACAAACAAAAAGCTCGTAGAGATACCCCCCCAAAATTACCAATGAAAGGGACGTTCAAGTACGAAACCCACCAAATGTTAATCAGCTGCAAATCTAAACTTCCCAAAACTTAACCCTAATCTACCAACCACTAGCAAACATTTCCAAACTTTACCCCACGTAAACAAACCATCAACATAGAAAACCATAACAGGAATCAAAACAACCACCAAACCAATACAATGATAATAGCAACAATATTAGTAATGAAATGCATTCGATGCACACGATAATAAACTCTATTTCCACATACATAACAATCTATCAATACTATTATCCCAACAATCGTCAATTAATATACAAATTCACTCACGTCGTATTGCAATAAGAATCATGGCCACACAGCCTCCATAATAAAATTAACCTGCTAAACTGGAATGCCAATGAAAAATAACCAACAAAAAAAAAACAACGAATTTGATCTACTTCCTCAAAGAAAAAGAAATTCAAAATAGCTTGTATAACGGAACACCTCAAATCCCACAACTACATTCAATTTATGGCCCGGTTACAATGTGTCAGACAGACGAATAATGCTTAATGGGGAGGTGTCCTCATCCTTGTGGATAAATCAATACCCTACACCAAAGCAAAACATACAAATACTCCTGGATTAGAAAACAGTCGCTTTAAAAATACCTCTTAAACAACAGAGTATTTCCATTTATCAACACATAACAAGTCTCCAAACAAAAAAAAAAATCAAACACTAACATCGCAGAGCTATTTAATCAAATCACTCCTACTTACATTAGAGATCTGAACTCCAAAAACACAAACTGGGCATGCAGATCAACAAAACAGCCAGGCAAACATTACAAACAATATTAACGAACGCAAAAATTTTACACATATTAACTCCTACAGAAACCAACCTACTACTCATACGACTCAAATAAAACACCCAGGACACATTAGACTTGCATGCACCATTGCAACACCAACGATCGGACTACATTTTATTCCACCCTGCTACCACGACTTGACTCTGATCACCTCCCTGTAATAATATCTACACATCAAAAACCCGGCCCCCCACACACCCACATTAAAATACTAATAACATAAACTGGAAAGAATTTAGAAAACATAATTATCAGAACCCCCAAATTCAGGAAATCTAAACGCCTTTAGAAATAGAAAAGTTCAATAGCATTAATTAAACAATATAGTTAACCAGTGTTATCGTTCAGCAACCAAAGCACATAGCACATAATAAACCAAAAAACACATACTAAATTGCCAGATACCATAATAACCATATTAGAAACCAGAAAACAGTTACAAGAAGACTTTGAAACAATAATAGAATCCGCCAAATAAAAAAAGAGCTAACATCCTAAACAAGATAACCAAAAACGCAATAAGAACACCGTCACGCACTTCTTACAACTAATCTTTAATTAAATCCCTCAAGCACAACCAACTACTCACCTTTGGAAATTTACGAAAACAATGTTAAGAAAGCCAAAGCCACCCATCCCTCGATAAGCACGCCATCTGGGAAAAAAATTTCCCCCATAGACAAGCCAAAGCATTAGCTGATTTCTGTGAAAGTACTTTTTACGCTTATTAACACTCACCCCACACAGAACATATACAAAATTGCAAACTCGGGTCTCCGCCTCCGAAACTAATAAACCAAAATTCATATCACCAAACGAAATTTAAAGAATTTAATAAAAAAAGCTCCCCGGCCAAAAAAAAAGCCCCTGGACATGCATATATTAACAATAAAATTATAAAAAACCTACCCACTCCCACACAAATAGCCTTCATAAATAATATTTATAAAAATCCATATTAAGAATTGGTTAATATCCAATACTTTGAAAAACTTAAAAAATTATTCCTGTCCCAAATCAAATAAAATCATAGTAATCCAGAAAGTTTACAGGCCAATCCGGTTTGTGCCAACTCTGTCAAAAATTCTTGAAAAATTAATTCTGAAAAGATTAAAACAATTATTTAAATTTAAGCACAGAAAACATACCCAAACATCAGTTCGCGCTTTATTAATCAAGTGTCCACTTCACACCAACTTCTTAGACTAATTGAACACATTCATTCAGCATACCAAGATAAAAAGCACACCAAATAGCAACCTCCTGGACATATCACAAGCCTTGACAAGAGTTTTGGCACCAAGGCCTTATATTTAAACCTGCAAGCAATTGGAACACCAACTCTACTGGGTCAACATTATAAAAACATTTTAAACAAATAGAACATTCACAGTTCACAGTAGAAAAACACAATTCAAACCCCCGTAAAATACAAGCAGGCGGCCTTTCCACAAGGCCTCCCCACTTTCACCAACTCTATTTTAATTATCTACTCGTCAGATATCTCACCCCACAAACCAGACCCACCATAGCACAAATTTGGCAGACGATACAGTAATATACAAATCCAGCCATTTCAATTAAAATCATTAGTTTGAAAAATACAAAAACATATCTAGACAAAATAGATAACTGCGTCAACAATATGCGAAAAATTAAAC